AAGTTTTTTTAGGGGAAGCAATTGCTAACCCGTTGCTTGCTGGTGCGCCGCCACTGGAAGTAGGTGTTGCAAAAATCCAGAATTACGACCCAGTTATTACGATGTTAGCATTAGATGACGTCAGAAGTGCTCAAGTAATTGAGCATCTACGATCAGCATCGTCAGAATTATTTTTGATACCTAATCACATACAACAAATGCGGAAAAAATACTAAAAGAATATTATGACCAGTCACTGGTCATAATATTCTTTTAGTATTTTTTCCTTCATATGTTCAATTTTCGATGGAAGACGTTTCATTACTATCGGTAAATTGGCTAACACATATTTGGTAATAGTATTTCTCATAATATGCAAAGCAAAAGAAATGGAAAAACCATTGATGATCGTAATCGGCATTCTCTCTCTATTTTCGTGCTCGTCTGCTTTTTGGGTGAGTAATGCGGGGAGAGCGGCTAAAACTTGTTGTTTTTTTCTACATGATCGGTGTGAGAATATCTTTGTTCATCAGTAGTTTGCTTCTGCCTGCTGGATCGGTAAGGTGTAGTTTATCGAATAAATCGTTTTCCAATATATCGGTTTTTACGACAATAATCGGTATTGTTGTCGATAGTTCATCGAGTAGTTCGTTATAAGGGTCAGTTTCTGCGTCAACGACATAGGGTTAGGCAAGTAATTTGATAGGTTTTTTTCGCGGAAAGACTTTATGAATAAAAAACTTTCTGAATTTGAGGAAAGCGATATCGAATATTATTATACATCATTGTTATCAACTTAATCATGTCATTGGGATATTTATCTGATAGGTCGTTCATACCGACTATAAGTAATACTTGTCTTACATCGGATAAGTACCGTGTACCATCGTTTGAATACACATATTCGAGTAATTTATTGATGGTTGCTCCCGATTGCGAGTATAATTTAATTGTAGCATGTGGTGGATGGCCATGGATCTGATAATACCACTACGGTGGGAACTGGAATCAGATCAGCAGTTGTTGTTGGTAATGGCAAGGGTTTAGACCGTTGTGTTAGGGTGGGTTGAACTGCTCGTTGGCGTTCACGTTTCTGTTTTTGACTTTCTTCAAATTGTTTTCGTATTTGTGGTTGAACAAAAAATGGAGGTATATATGCAAGATCGATCGACATTAATGGTGGATGATTGTATCGATACGCTGTATTTTGTGATGGTTCCTGCGATAAACGGGTGTTGTCTACTTTTGGAATATGAGAAGCACGGGGTTGGTTAGATGGATTAAAACGCATTCTGGCTGAAGAGCGGGAACGAGAACGAGATCCACTTGATTTACTACGCGAGAATGGTCGACGAAGTTGCGGTGGCAGTATTTGAAGTTAAGATGTTGTTGTCGGAGCATTTTTTTCCAGTCTTTTTGTCGATTTATTCTTCGATTTCTTACCCGACGTACTAATCTTCGATGTTAGCATCCATCGTGCTGATACTTCGAGGATGGTGGCCGATAGTAATAGTGCCTTATATAACAGACACTGTTTTTCGTCTCGTTTAAAATGAGAAAAAAGCGTTGGTATCGTCAATCATACACGTGGCGTGAGTATATATATACGTTTATATCACGTGGAGCAATCTATTCTTTTCTAACATTTTTCTTCAAACGAAGAAACACGCTTCCTATAAACGTATATATATACCCTCGCCACGTGTATGATTCAGGATATCAACATTTTCTTCCCATTCTAAACGAGATGAAAAACAATGCCTGTTGTATAAGGCACTATATTTTTAAAGCAGACAACTTTTACACTCGAAATTTTTGCAGTTTATATCTGCTTTTCGAACCTTTTTAAAGTAGAATTAATCAATTTACACAGTAAGTGCATAGCACTTGTAGTGAGTGAGAGAATAGGGATATATAAAATCCTTTCTGTTTTACTGTCGTACAGTTGCAGTTTTTCTCCATTCACCTTGGGTATCAAAAATGGTTCTTCTTTATCATGAAATATACCAAATATAGGTGCACTTCCTCTGAATTTGCTACCTGACCTCTATTCATACTGATTTTTCCTTTTTAGATAAAGATTATAACATGAGAAAAACATTGTCTGCTCGACGAACTCATTAAAATTTGATTGCACTATGTTCTCGGAGAAAAGTCCGAGTAAAGCATAGTGGAATCAGTTGTAGATAACGAGACGGTGACTGGAAAAATGTGAAACTACTAATATTATCGGACACCATGAAGATGACCGTCGGGGTGCGTGGTCAAAGAGGTCAAAAAACAACAATGATCGGACGCCGTTGCCCTGCGCAAAATGGCATTTTACGAACGTCAGTCATACCCGCGGACAAAGCGTCGTGTTTCGCTACTAGACGTGTTGTTTAAGATGGGCATCTGGACGGCCATTTTAATGGTATCCGAGAATGTTGATTTGAAATAATTAAACCGCGACAGGTGTGCAGTACAACACTAGTCCGCACAGGTGTACTCACCCGTCTTTTTCTGCGGCGTCCGGACATCGTCATCCCGTCCAAAAGTGGCACTTTGCCCACGCCCTTTTTAGCCTTGGTCACCCGTTCGAAGCCACTTTTTAGCCGTCTTTTGTTGATTATCTCATCGTTCTCATTATCACCTGCAGCGAAATGATAAACTACACTGTAAGGTAGGAAATTATTTATGGAAAATGCTGGGCGAATTTCAAAAAGTGACTATAGGAATTCCTCGAGGGTTTTCCCGTTTATAGAAAATCGAATTTCTAAGAAGCTAGAAAATCGTTGTTGAATTTCCATAAATAATTTCCGAGAATGCCTTGTCCGTGATTCGTCAGTTCCAGCGACATCTATCGTGGAAATTATTTATAGAAATTCAACCTTGATTTTCTATAAACTAGAAAATCAAAATCGAATTTCTACATACTTGAAAATTATTTATAGAAATTTGATTCATTTTCGATAAACTTGAAAATCGCCGGCAATTTTCCAGTTTATAGAAAATCCTCAGCGATTCTCCACCGTTATAGAAAATCAACATTCCCTAGAAAGCTGGAAATTCGTCGAGAAATTCCTATAAACTAGAAAATCCCCGGCCATTTTTCGGTCGGTTTTCTAAAAACTGGAAATTAATTCAAGATTACAGTGTAGGCTACAACTGTACCGCGCACAACCTGCGAGCTCGAATGAGCCGAAGAAGATCTCTATGGAAGAAAAAATATGTTTGCGTTCGAATTCGAAGGAAAAACTTGTTTCGAGAGTAGGTTAAGACGCGCGAAAAACGAACAGATAATGCATACATATAAATATTTCGCGATGAAATAATCAGTGGTTTAAATAAAGTAGTACAAACAGGAAAAGCAAAAGGTGAATGAGTGATTCTCTTTTTTAACCCATTACTGATTCGAATACGTACTTTGAATATAGCTTACCGAGTTACATAAGAAAGTGCGTCTCATTTTTGTGAAAATGTTTCTATAGTAGAAGATTTGAAAATATTAAAAAGCGGTAAACTATCACTTTTTTATCTATGGGCACTGTCTAAATATTGTTTTCGATACCTCTCACGTACCGAGAACCTTGTTGACCGTTTCTGAAGGCAGGTTTCATTCTGCTTGGAATTCGTTTAGTGGTATTGGCTATTGTTATATCCGTTTTTTTGACAAGGAACGGTATGTCTCATTGAAGAAATGCTGTATCCCATAATGTGAATTTCGAAGTATTGAAAAAGACGACAGGTGGTTGTTTCTTTATTTAATACGTGATTAAAAAAATACAAATCATTTGAATCAGTTCTGGACACTCCTGAAATCAGCTACGATTAGAAACGCTCATTTGGTGTTCGTTTATTCCATACTTTGGTCTCGTTTATCGTGACTGTATAATTTGCATCACCGCCATTTTTCAGCGATTGTCGACAACCGATATAATAGAGAAATATGTTTTTAATTTCTTTATTTGTGAAAAAAATTGCGAATATGTCAACGGTGATAGAAATTGAAATGCAGACAAGACTCATAAGATATAGGTGGACCGGAACTGAATGAGTTTGTTGCAGTATAATTAACAGCATATAGGCGAAACCCCCAGATGAAAGGATGCTAACGAGGAGCATTATGTTTTGTAATACCTTTAAATCGCGATTATGAAAAGGTACAGTTGTCGACGGTAAGGCAATTGGACTAACGCGATTTTGTCGAATTCTCATTTTTAATCCTTGTTGATGAACAAAATGAAGAATGTAAGCGTATATGACGCTTGTAGACAATAAGGGTACATTAAATATTGTTACTATAACAAAGAAAATTGGGAATACTAGTTTTGTTGATAAAACACAAAGATGAGATTCCTCTTCATATCGATAACCATTGTAAAAGATCGGTAACAATGAAAGTAATACACTGATGAACCAACCAACGACGATTAATATCCAATGTGTTTTGCATGTTGAAAGATATTTTCGTTTATAAAGAATGTTAAGAAATA